ACACACACACACACACACACACACACACACACACACACACACACTGTTTTTGAAATTTTACTTCGCAAAGGAACAACTGATGTTCAATTTTTGTTTCTTTTACTTTTAGTTGTTTGCTGTTTTTGCTGGTTACGGTCAGGATGACACATTTTTCATTYATGGTTTAGTTTTTTACTTGTGCATTCTGAGGCTTTTGAAAAAACTGAATTGTTTCAAAAGTGGATTTTTTAACAGTGTAAAAAAATCACATKAAGTTGTACAAATATGTAATTTTATCAAAACTGCAAACTAACACTCACAGGAAGTTTGGTTTGTGCTGAACTTATCCTAAATAAAACATTTGTAAATGATTATTTTTATTGTCAGTTCAACATCTTGTGTGTGAGTGTGAATAAGGTTAAAAGGTCCTCGTGAGTTCTCCATGGCGTTGATTAATGGCGCTCATGATTTAACACCTGCTGTTTTAATGTGGCCACAGTCAGAAACTGATCTCAGCTTGCTTGCATGAGCCGTGTTCCTATTTTAAATAGATGCCTAAATTTATCAGCTTTGTGTAAGTCACTGCAACCTGTCTGTAATGCTTCACATCAAGGAGAAGAGATTCCAAAWCCAAGCTTCTCACTTACCAACAATCCCACTGTTTTTATATTCAAAGATGAATAATCAGATTTCTTAGTGTTTCAGTGATCCAGCTGCTTTAAACCAGGCTCCACCGGATCTTTTACAAGGGCTCTCAAGTTAAAAACAGTTAGGGACATTTTTATTAGCTGATCAGATACCTCACATCGTATTCAGGTTTTATGTAAACGCTTAATCTGAAAATAACTACAGCTGTCCTGTAAAAGAGGTGTATATTTACCACTAAAATATTATATATAAATGAAATACTGTATAAAAACTCTTTTAGCTGCTTAATAAAAGCATYAAGGCTGCTCAGAGTTTCTTCACACATTTTGAGGCAATGAGAATAAAAGTTTTGCGGGTGACACGTCCTTTACACTGGTGGCCTCTGTCCTTGATCCTACTGTCAGTGTGCCCTCCACACAGAGCAGCTGTTGACCCCTCCCCACTTCATACCACCAATCTGGGGCCCTGTCCAGGAACAACACTTGTGTCTTCAAAAACCTAGACAGACGTCTAACAACTGGATCCGTGTTATGCAATGCAGCCGTTCAGCTATTCGGCTCTGGTGGCAAACATCACCTAAAAATCTTCCTCCATTTAGTCGGGTCTCTGTCAGGAAAACAGCTGTTTCAGATCCGAGGACACATCTGTGTTCAGAAAATGTTAAGAAAATAAAAACTGCCCTGTTCATGTCAGTGGTTGGTTGATATTTTCTCACTGTACATTATACAAAAACTTCAGCTCAGTATCTGCAGTTGACTGAGCTGTAAAGCTTTTTTTGTTGACTACAAGGAATATTATCTGTGGTGGCCATCTTGAATTTGACTCCAAACACTAATCAGTTGTATGTGTATGTGCAGTGAATACTGTCTGAAAGTGTAGTTTTAATTCAATTACTGGTTCAGGCAAAATTTTGCTAGCATTATGGTTGACCATAACAGTCAAAGTTTTAAACAAAGATCTTGTTTTAAGGCCCCGTCACACTAYAATGTTTTAGACAACTTACACCAAWTTATGAAAATTTTAAAGACGTCTAAGTTAAAGATGCAATGTAAAAAAAACATCAACTGGAAGCCTCTTTWAGGCRTGTGCATACTGCAATGCTAACAACTTGATCCAATATAACTTTTAAGAGGAATTTAGACATGAAAAAAATTCGTAATTTGGCACAAGTTGTAAAACAGTATAGTGTGGCAGGGCCTGAAACTGTTTAGTGTGTCTCAACTCACCTAACTGTACAGTATTATAAATTAATTAAAAAAAAACACCTGAAAATACAATTTATTTAGTTTTCTACCTTATTTTAAAAAATTGGATTTTTTTTAAAAAAA